CATTATAGTAGTATAATTTTATTCCCGTAGATTAATTCCTCCGCTAGCCAGGCCACGTAAAATGCACTTCCAAGTACTCCGCGTCCTCCGCAAGATGGTCTAGCCAAGTGCGACGAAACCTTAATCCTGGCGATGTATTCATTTGTGTACCTCATGCTCGGCCCTTTAACCACCCTAAGTCCTCAACTTAAACTTAAACCACGCAGCTCTGAATCATGCTGTCGTACAGCCCAAACCCCAAGGGCTCAGGTAATCAACCCTGAACTACGCAAACGGCACCGTTTCAGAAACCATCGGTTTAAGAAGCGAGCACCCTCGGCCAGCCGGCTGATACGCGATGCGGCGAGGAAGAATAAATCAAGATATCGAGGGTACACTCATTCTGGGGCTCATATGTTCTTTATTCTGGTCGTTTTCGCAATGCCCTCCAGGGGGTGGATTTAGAGACTGAATGGCGGAACTTCTTATTTGACGCATTGACCCCCAAATTGAGCTTGGGACCTCTAGATTCAAAGGAGTGTGGAATTTCCACAAGGGCCGAAAACAAGCCTAAGGCATTGGGAGGGCTGGATGTCTTACTTGCGGGGGGGTGGGACCCCCAGTTAAAATTCAAAGCCACGCTTCTAAAAATTAGGGTTAGGGTTTAGGGTTTAGGGGGCTCCTCCTCCAGGGCGACGCTTTCCGCTAAGAAACGGGGTTTGAGTGATTACTCGAGGAGGGGGGGGAACCCAAATTCAAGAAATTGAAGAGGGGGTGAATGTCTTTTGGGAGTCCAGGACCCCACCCCCCCTCAATTTGCTAACTTTACGAACTCTAGCCTCCAACATGTCTTAACTTGCCGGTCCTTCCAACGCCCCGCCAGTAAGAAAACCCTAAACCCTAAATGAGAAATCCAGCCCCCGAACTTCTCATTTTGGGGTCCCACCCAGCCCTCGGTTTGGGGTTTGGGGTCTTAGACTCTTTTCGGGCCTTGTGGAGCAGCACTTTCTTTCGATTCTCACTAGATTCAAGAAGCAATTAAGAAGCACTTGCGAGGTATCCTGGGAAATAACATGAACAATACAGCGGCTTCATCATCAAGAATTCCCTCACCACAAACTATATGTTTTTCTTATCCAGTGCTGTCACTGTAGTTTGGGTTTCAGGGCTAGGGAAGTATTGAACTATCCTCAACCTGTCACTACTTTCCCTTAACCCAACTAAGCCGAAACAGCATTGACCCCACGTTCGTTGACGGTCGCTGCATTCGAGGCACCCTTCTCCACTGCTTTGGGAAAGGCTTCGCAGATCTCTTGCTGTCGGTGCGTGAGGCGGCGCTGATGTTCACGCATATCATCCATCTTGGCCTCCAGCGCACACAATCCCCAAGCCCTAAACCCTAAACCCTAAACCCTAAACCCTAAACCCTAAACCCTAAACCCTAAACCCTAGCGGGAAACTCAGAATCCCCGTGCCCCAAAAGCCAGCCCTAGAAGACCCCAAAAAGGCCGAAGCGCATAGGCATAGGCTTAGGGGATTTTGCATGTCTTTTAGGGGTTCGGGTTTAGGATTTAGGGTTTAGGGTTTAGGGTTTAGGGTTTAGGGCTTCAAGTCTGAGGTCCTCCAACCACGGAAGCCCTCACTAGGGCCCTCACGGTTTAGGGTTTAGGGTTTAGGGTTTAGGGTTTAGGGTTTAGGGTTTAGGCTTCAGGGGTACCAGATAATATTGGTTACTCGGGAGCGCAGCACTAGAACGCTAAACCCCACTCTACAAACTCAAAATGCCCTAAGCCTCCAAACACCAGCCCTGAAGCAGCCAAGCTGTCCTAAGCTGAAGACCCTCAAACCGAAAACCCTAGACCAAGGAGAGGGTAGAGGTCTTGACATTAGGGTTTAGGGTTTAGCGTTTAGGGCTTAGGGTTTAGTCTTGACGATATGGGCTTGTCGAGGTTCCCTCATTGAAGCACATGCAGCTGAAGGCATTGAATGCGGTGGATTCGAGCCACTGAGGGTTTAGTCTTGTATGAACACAGATTTCAGGAGTTGGTGTCAAGGGTTTCGGTGCTCAAATAGCCCTCAATAATACTTCAACCCCAACCCCTCAAGACCATGATCACGCCATCTCAAAACCTGACCGTCCCGAAGGGAAGCCGCACAAACCCCAATCCCACCAGGCCCAAAAAAGCAAAAGTTTCAACCTTAAGCCCCCGAAATGAAAGCCTCAGCTCTAAACTCGAAACCCTAAACCCGCACTTCGAGCCCACTGGCCGCCCTGATGGCACATGCACTTGAAGGTTCATGGGTAGTTATAAGTGGAGTTATAAGTCCCCGAGTATAGGTTATAACTATAGTAACCCTACTTATATTCCTACTTATAACCACCCATGAACCTCCAGTTAAACTCTAAACTCTGAACCTGAAGCGCCATAAATGAGCATGTCGCACAACACAACCAGTCCCTAAACCCTAAACCCGTCCAAGGACTGAATGCCAAGGATGCCAATTTGCAGCATCTTCATAACACTGGACAAGCACCGGTTTAGGGTTTAGGGTTTAAGACATAACAAGAGAAACACAGAAGCAACAACATCTTTAAACCATAAAGGAAGCCTAGAACTTTGAACTGTAACGACCTGCTGCAGGCTGGCCTGGATGTCCTTTCTGGTTGCTTCCACTTGCTTCCGGTACTGGCAGGTTGCGACGGTGTTTTTCGGGTTTAGGGTTTAGGGTTTAGGGTTTAGGGTTAAGGGTTAAGGGTTTAGGGTTTAGTTCTGGTTGGCTTCAGCGGCAAGACTGAAAGCCATCCCAAAGAACAGCAGGACAAAGATAATCAGGGG